ACTACCCCAATCCCTAAATCCCTAAACACTGTCATCCTAGAGCCTCAGACCTCCTTCAGGCCAGACCCCGTACACCTCATACAATTTTTTCGGGGACGGGGGAGGGGCAAGATTGAGGCCTGAACAATAACACAAGCCGCTGGGGATCTATGATAGTATAAGTTTATCTGGAACTGCAACGGCATCATACTACTGATTTCTCAGGCCCCTCTACCAGCCGTCTAGAAGCCTAGGGTTTAGGACACAGGTCTAGAGTTTAGAGTACACTGCAAGCTGCCAACCCTGGGCGCTTTGAAAGTTCCAGTGGCCTTAACCCGACGATGACCCCACCAAAAACTGGACACTATACACTGAACCCTGTGCTCAATTTGACCTATATATACATGCCTAATTATATACACATACATATACATAGTATAAACTTACGTACATATGCATATACAAAGTGATATAACAATACCATATAAGATGATATATAATGATGAAATACGATACAAAAATGATATCATATGGTATATTATAACCTAATAGAGTGGATTATAACACACTATAAGTGTGATCTACTAGAATATAACAATAAAATATTATGTAGCGTAACATGATATAATATGATATGAGAATACAATATAGTAAAATATAAAGAAGTATGATATAATGCAATAGAAGAAAATATGATATGAAATAATGCAATATCATATACCATAATATATTCAACTATGACATAAATAAAATATCATATAATATCATATAGAAAACATAACATAATAAACTGAAAGCTGAAATATAATATAACAAAACCTACTATAGTATTGTATAATATAGTTTACTATAATATAATACAGTGTAATCTAGTCTGAAACAATAAAATATAGTACAATATAACATAACAAAATATCATATACTATAGCAGACTAAAACATAATATAATATGATGTAATATGACATAACATATTAGGACATATTATAATATAGTGAAAACATAACAAAGACTAAAAATGTAATGCCATATCATGTCAAAACATAATATCATACTGCGTTATATCATTGTATACCATACCATACTATACTAATATAACCTAACATAATATGATACCATATGATAAAATATCATACGGTATGAACTACTTTACCAAAAACATACTATAGTATATTATAATATGTAGTCATATTCTAGAGCATAGACTAATATAGTAATATTTACCATATTACAACGTAATATAGTCCAGTATATTCTATTAAAATATGTAGTAGAATACCATAGTATCATATCGTATTGTGAAGCATACCATAACACAAAACAACATAACATGGCATAACATAACACAGCATAGCAAAGCATGTCATAACGAAACACAAAACCGTATATTGCATATAGTTATTTACACTGTGTGTGCTCACACATGACCTAATGTAAATAATCAAAGGTATAGCACAATAATAATTTAAGATAATGTGGTATAAAAAAGGAATTATATCCAGCACACCGTACTATGACATAACGTAATGTGTTTGTAGATAGATAGTTAGATAGATAGATAGATTGATTGATTGATGGATATATAGATGGATACATAGGTACATAGATACATGGATACATAAATACATAGATACATGAATACATACATACATAAATACATAGACAGATAGATAGATAGATAGATAGATAGATAGATACACAGACAGACAGATAGATAGATGCTTAACTAGATAGGTAGAAAGAGAGACAGATAGATAGATGGTAGTTGGATATATAAATATATATAGAGATAGACATATGAATAGATAGGTAGATAGATAGACATATAAGTAGATTACCAGATAGATAAACAGAGAGACCGATAGATAGATAGATAGATAGATAGATAGAATGATAGATACATAGATCGATAGATCGATAGATCGATAGATAGGTAGATAGGTAGATAGCCTGATAGACAGATAGACAGACAAATAGATAGATTGATGGATGGATGGATAGATAGATGTCTAGGGCAGGGCTGCTGGGGATTGCTCAGTTCTTCGAGGTCTTTGGGGTTTGATTAGGATTACGCTTTAGTCGCAAGTACTGTTGCAGGTCTGGGTTCTAGTTGGAACCAGGCTTAGTTTCGGAAGGTTGGGGGGCGCAGGACTTTGACTGGCACTTGAGCCACACCGAGCACCGCGCCCCATGGATGCGCAGGGCCCGTTCGATGGGTCTCTCACTACAGCATAGAGGAGCACTCTGGAGTAGGCTGTACTATGATCGGTACACGATTTAAAGAGCAATAAAGCAGCAATGATGTTCTTGATCACCCTGTCTAAACTCTCGGGCTCTCTGCATCGCTGGCCCATGCCTTCAAGCGACTGTGTTTCAAACAGCGAGAAGGGAATCGACTTCATGCTTAAAGCAACTTTATGGCCCAGTGACTCGTAACTAAGACATCATGTTCGGCAATCTCCACATCTTCTGTAAGCCGTTCCAGACGCGCAGGTTGTGCCTACCTGGACCTACCTGAAACCTACTTGGAGGATCATGGGACTTAGTAACTAGGGTTATAAACGAGATAACCATGCTTATGGCTAACTATAACCCCAGCCAAGGCACTTATCACTCGACTTACTAACCCTAAAACCTAAACCCTAAAAAAAACCCTAAACCCTAAACCCTAAAACTAAAACCCCTTTCTAAGTCCCATGATCCTCCAAGTACAGTACAGACCAAACCTCCAGGGCTTCCGAAAATAGGGGACCCTTTAAGGTTTAGGGTTTAGGGTTTAGGGAATAGGGTACCCTAGATAGTAGGATCCTTCTTATCGGCCCGAAGGCATGACTCACATTCCCCTGAAACCCAAAACCCAAAACCTTAAAACCCTAAACCCCAAAACCCTAAACCCTAAACCCAAACCCTAAACCCAAAAACCCTAACCCTAAACCCAAAAACCCTAAAAAGGCCCTGCAAATCCGCAGCCTTGTAAGGTCGAAATCCTAAATCTTAATCCTAAGCCCCGAATCTAACACCGCAATTAGCCATAAACCTTTCAGATGAAACTAAGTAGAAATGATGTGTTGCATGCTGGGCTCTCACCCACCCCCCACCACCAGCCCAGCCGGTCGCTACTCAGCCGCTAGCGGCCTCATATGCGCGTTTGCCGGTTCTACGTCTTGCAACCCGCAGATGAACGACGATCTAGCGCTCTGAAGGTAGCCTGCCGGTCCACAGTGATGGCAGGCTCACCACCAATCATGAGCCCCATACGTCCCGCCCCCCGACCCCTGCAGCCGCATGTGGGGGCGTCACCTCCGCACCCACAACACGCCGACATGTCCCTTGCGAAATGATGCAAACTGTGTGCCAGCCACGGCCAATCTTGCCCGCCCGACACATTCTCCCAAATCCTGCCGAAGGAGCCACGGACCAGAGCTTCTAGCGGGTTCATTAATTTGCTGGCCTGGGGTTTCGGGTTTAGGGGTTTGGGGTTTACAGCTATTCAACTTGTCTCTTCCGTTTAGCTTCCTATCTATTTTTCCCCTCCATTAGCTGACGGTCGCTGCCTTCCCAGTCGCTGTTTCTGGAAGCCCGCTCGGCAAGCAACAAAAAGTCTGTACACAGTTTAGGGTTTAAGGTTAGGGCTTAGTGTGAACCACACTCCAACAAGTCCGTCTTACTTGTCCAGTATCCTATGGGAACTAAAGGTGAGGTTAACCTTTGGCATTGTGTAGGGGTTATAATGCCTCAAGCAGGTGAAAGGATGCTAAAGGTATAGTCTGTCAATGTCTGTCAACATGCACCGGTTTTGAGGGCCAGCCTGGCAAGCAAAGGCAACGGTTCTCAGGTCATTAACAGTCTGCGAGTGCACACCCAACAGTCTGTGAGGTTTTTACGGCAGGACTTGAACCGAGGATTGTTTAAAAAATGTTTTTTCAGGGCTCATGCAGGTTCTATAGAATAGTTTATGGCTACATGGATCAGGTTCAAGGCTTTGGGTCGAGGATGACAGCCTCAAGCTTTCAAAGCTCTACGAAGGCCTAAACTTTTTGTCCATGCATCGCGGGGGTCTTCAGCAGAGCCGGCGCTCAATTCCGGCAAGACGATGCCCGGAGCTTTGAGTGTTTCAGGGCTGAAGTATATGGATCTAGTCTTCAGCGTTTCCCACCTAGTCCTTGAGGGTTTTGTTATGGGCTTCAGGTTTAAGCTTTTTGGTTTATAAAACCCTAAACCCTAAACCCTATATAAGGTGCAGAGTTTTAGGGCTTGGCTCCCCAGGAGCTATCACCCTCACAGAAACCCTTAACCCTAAAGCCTAGTCCCTTAAGAGAGTCGCCTCCTGTGGTCCATGAGTCCTGGGCCCCCGGGCCTCGCATCTGGGTTTAGGGTTTAGGGTTTAGGGTTTAAAAGTCCTGAATCACAGATGCCCTAGGCCCTAAAACCTTTAGTGCTTAGGGCTTCGGGCTTGGGGTTTGGAGTTTAGGATTGAGGGCTACGGTTTCCAAAATCCAAAACCCAGCGCCCAATCCCTGAAGGCTAGCTCTGGAATGTCGGCAACTGTAAACCTCAAAGCCAAGCAGAATAATCAGACATTATCTCCACCTTGTTGAATCTACATGATTATACAGCTAAGGCCCTTAGACTTAGATAGCCCTGACGCCTTATGAGACTCGGCCAAACCTATTCAAGCCTCGATAAAGCCCTGCTGTAAGTTATCAGTAAGGACGGCTCCCACCTTCAACCCTTCAGCCGAAACCCTGGGGTGCAGGGTACTGGGTGCCCCCAACTCGATACTGAAATTCTAAACTCCGATCGCTAAGACTCGAAACCCTACACACCAAACTGCGAGGGCTCTCTCCCCTAAATTGGGTTTAAGGTTGAGGGTTTTGGGAACCCTAAACCCGGAACCCTAAACCCGAAACCCGAAACCCTAAACCCGAAACCCTAAACTCGAAACCGTAAACTCTAAACCCTAAACCTTAAACCCTAAAGCCCTAAACCCTAAACCGTTAAACCCTGGCTCCCCAGCTCGCTCTCATGTGCCAAATTTCCGCTCTCTCGCCATCACCTTGGCCCACCAAGTCGAACAAAGAGAAACGCCGAGGAACTGAATCCTAAATAGTAGTATAGTGGGCTCAAAACTTCGAATAGGGTTTTGGGGCCCGTTATGCTATGCTTATAATACTGATCATACAGTGGCCTTAATAATTGGAATACGGCTTCGGGGCCCATGATGGTAGTTATCTAGATTTCAGGCCCTGGTAGTAGGCCCACAATCTTCGAACCAACATCGTCGTCATCATCATCATCATCATCATGATGAAGGTCATCATCATCATCATCATCAAAACAAAACTCATCATCAACAACGACAGGATCACCATGACTTAGGGTTTAGGGTTTAGGGCCTAGGGTTCGGATGGCATTCGCATTATCATGCTAACCACCGTGATGGCTGGAGGATGATGCTGCTGGCGCGCGTGATAGCGATGGTGTCAAGACGAGGGTAATGCTAATCCTTAATGAACGATGATGATGGTGATGATGATGATGATGATGATGATGATGATGCGACAACGATGATGCTGATGCTGATGCTGAGGCTGATGCTGACGCCAACGCTCACTGACGCTGGCTCTGATGCTGGAGGCAACTGTGATGCTGCTGCTGACGCTGACGACTGCGATGATGATGATGATGATGATGATGATGATGGTGATGATGGTGATGGTGATGACTCAAATGATGATTGCGTCGGTGATGATGATGGTGATGATGATGATGCTGATGACAGCGGTGGTGATGATGATGATGATGGTGTTGATGATGATTAAACAGATGATGATGATGATGATGATGATGATGCTGATGATGATGGTGATGATGCTGATGACTGCGATGATGATGATGATGATGATGATGGTGATGATGCTGATGATGCTGATGGTGATGGTGATGTTGATGATTCGATGATGAGAAAGGGGGATGGGGAGGATGACGATGAAAACGGTGGTGAGGACTAGGCTGAGGCTGCACATGGGGGGTTCACGATGCTGGCTATGGTAATGATAATATAAAAATTAACACTGGAGAAGACTACGGTGAGTTTCATTTCTGTCAATGCTAGTCTGATTCATGACAATTGCCGCAGTCGGTCGTCGCAAGGTGAGAGGCAGGTCCTTTGCCAAAACGACAAAAATGCACTCATCGTGTGTCTGGGTTTTGCAGGATGACGGGGCTAGAGAGCTGGTGCCGTAAGCTGCCGGCAACTTCGTCGAACGCGATCACGATTGTCGTGGCCGCGTTGCCTGCTCAGCGCTGAAGCCAAACAAAACTTTTTTGAAGGGCCACAGGGTTTTGTAAGCAAGACGTAAAGCCTTTAGGGTTTATGGTTTAGGGTCGAACGGCAGAGCTGAAACACCCGAGGTGGGGTAAGCCTACTGCCCGCTTCCAATCCCGTGAGGCAGCAACCTGCAAAACCCTTACACCCAAACCCTAAACCATAAATCTTGGGGAAACCCCCTAAACCTTAAACCCTA